GTCCTCAGACAGTTCTCGTCTCCTCTTTCTGTTGTCCATGCTTAGTGTGGCACAGACAGACACACAATGCAAAGGTTAAGTGAACGTCTCTCCTTTTTATCTGCTTTCAGGTGTGATTTCTATATTGACCTGTTACTTGGGTGAGTTTACAGGGGATATGCTTGATTCTTATTTATCCGCAGTTGTGAAAGGGTGCCAATACTTTTGTCCAGCCCATTTTTGGAGGTTTGTGTGACATTATGTCGAATTTGCTTTCTTTCCTCCCTTTTTTTGTTTTTTGTCCCAATACACACAAAGGGAATAAACATGTGTATAGCAAAACATGTGTTAATGCAATACGTTTCGTGAGAAATACATGATTTCCTGGAGAAATATCAAGGGTGCCAACAATTTCGGCCATGACTGTATCAGATAATTTGATAGGGTGCAATGGATCCACTTTCAAAATTAATGATATCAGATTCTACATGGCTGGGTCGTGTCAGAATCCCGCTGTCCCTCATGGGTCTCCATCCCCCAAGGTAGATCTATGGGGGGGAGAAGGGGGGACATGGGGGATAGAGCAGGTTGGTGATCCGTGGAGACTCAGTTTATGGCCGCCTTCAAACCAGGAATGATATCTGTCCAGGTGTAGGGGAGCTGGTCATGCTGTGAGTTTCACCCCAAACAAGGAATCATGAGTAGGGATTTCCCTCATCAGATTCCAAGGCTTAATGTAAGCCAAGGGGGGAGGAGAGAGGGTGGAGGGGATAGGAGGTGGGTGGAAGGGAGGGGAAGATGGGAAAGAAAGGCAATAGGTCAAAACATTCATAATGGAAATGAGCCTGATGAAGTTTATGACCTATAATGTGAAAGGGTTAAACTCCCCCCCAAAAAAGACATAAGATACTTAGAGAAGTTCAGGAACATTCAATACATATAATATTTCTTCAAGAAACCCATTTAAATAGAAACAGAAACGTGAAGCTATACACAAGGTAATATCAAACGTGGTTTTATGCTGACTCATTAGTGAAAGGGGCCAAAGGAGTGGCAATAGGGTTTTCAAAAACTTTAAATTTTTTCCTTAGAAGATAGAAGGGAAGATCTGGAGGGTCGGTTTCTGTTTATACGGGGAAAGCTACAAGGAACGGAGTATACATTAGCAAATATCTATTGCCCAAAATAAAAAAACAATTAGGTTTATAGAGGGGGTACTAAGGAAATTGGTTGACTTTAAAAATGGGTATTTGGTTGTAGCGCAGGATTTTAATTTGTGTTTAGATCCCAAATGGGATGCGTCATCATATACAAGGAGAGAAGAGGAAAGGAATTTGAAATCATTGAAGAGGTTATTTATATAAACATCAATTAGTAGATGTATGGAGAGTGAACCACCCAAGAGAAAAAGATTACACCTACTTCTCTCATGTACATGGTTCATATTCAAGATTATATTATATAATGCTAGAGCATAGACAGTTGGAGTCAGTGATAGGCTCTAACATAGAGGTTATGTCATTTTCAGATCATTCTCCTGTTACTATGAGACTACAAATAGGCGGAAATAAAAATAAAATATCCACATGGAGATTAAATGAAACACTTTTACAAGACCCCGAAATAGAGAAAAGGTTAAAAGTGGAAATTGAACAGTATTTTGAGTTAAATGAGACCATTGAAGTATCTGCGGCAACAATCTGGGAGACTCATAAAGCTTACATAACGGGAATATTGATATCTATAGGAATAGAAAAGAAGAAGGAACGAGGGGAAAAATATAAAGTTGGTGATGGAAGAGCTCCATAAACTAGAGCAGATACATAAAAAAAGAACGGAATAGATATTTATCAGAAGATAACATCAAAAAGAGACGAGCCAGAAGAACTGATGGAAGAGTCAAGGAGGATATTTAACAGGGTTGCAAAGGAAAGATACCAATGGGGAAATAGACCTGGAAAATATTTAATGAGAAAACTTAAGAGCAAGAAATCTAGAAAAAATAAGAGATGGGAAAGGAGAAATGGCGTATAATACTTCTGATATTGCAAAGAGGTTTCTTTCAGATTATTATTATTATTATTACTACAGAGAACTTTATGATGTGAGGGTCGATAATCAAAGGGAAAGTGAAGAGGAAAGGAAAACAATTAGACAGGAATATTTAAGGGAGGTAGATCTGCCACGAATAACACAAGAAAAATTAGAGACTCGAGAAAGACCTGTTACCCCAGAGGAAATCAATTCAGCATTAAAGAATATGGCTATAGGTAAAATTCCAGGACCAGATGGATATACAGTGGGTTACTTTAAAAAATTTAAGGATCTTCTCGTCCCCAAAATCTGTAGATATATGAACGCGTTGGGGTGGGGCTGGAAATGAGGGAGGAGTCATTGCAGGCCCACATCACACTTATTCTAAAGGAAGGGAAGGATCGTTTACAATGTGCTAGTTATAGGCCTATATCATTATTAAATACAGATATTAAATTATACGCTAAAGTATTGACAAGACTGAAGGATCTGATGCCAGAATGGGTTCATTTGGATCAGGTGGGCTTTATATCGGGAAGAGAGGCGAGGGATAACAGCCTGAGATACATGATCCTTATACAAAGAGCTAAAAGAGAGTAAATACTGGCAATAATTTTGTCTATTGATGCTGAAAAGGCCTTTGATAGGGTTAATTGGGGATTTATGTAGGAATAGGGCCTAAAATGCTGCACTGGATAAAGGATTGTATAATCGTCCATCAGCGGCGGTTAAAGTTAACGGATCTTTATCTCAGTATTTTAGAATGTATAATGGTACTAGACAAGGATGTCCCGTCTCCTTTATTGTTTGTTTTATCTATGCAACCTTTTTTGGAGAGGGTAAGGAAATGTATAGATATAACAGGGATAAAAGTTGTAGAAATATAGCATAAAGTCGCTGTGTATGCAGTTTTATATCGTCAACCCCAGAATAACATTGCCTAATTTAATGAGAGTATTGAAACAATATGGGGAGGTATCAAATTTGAAAATAAATCCTGTGAAATCTGAAATTTTAAATATTAATCTACCAATGATAGGAAAGACTGGTTTGCAAAAAGAATTTCCCTTTACCTGGAATAAAAATGAATTAGGATATCTGGGAGTAAAATTAACTACCTCTTTAAAAAGTATGTATCAAGCAAACTATATCCCTCTAATAAATGAAATTAAGGAAGAGCTGAGAAGACTTTTGAAAGTAGGAGCCTCTTGGATAGGCCTAATAAATTTGGTTAAGATGGTAATACTGCCAAAAATTTTATATGAATTCAATATGCCTTCCAGGAACCTTTTTTGGGACAATTAAAAAGTTGATCACTAAATTCATTTGGGCAAATAAGAAACCAAGAATAAGCTTTGAGGCTTTGAGTAGAGCAAAAGGAAATGGAGGCTTGGGATTACCTAATGTGAGGATTTATTATATAGCAATAATTTTATCACGAGCAGTAGATTGGACATTTAATGCACAAGGGAAGAGATGAGTAAACATGGAATGGATATTAAGTAACTCAATTAGAGAAGATTATATGGATACCACATAAATATCGCACTTTGGATGTAAATATTAGTTCACTGACAAGGATAGTATTGAGCACATGGGATAGAATACACAGTCAAAAAAATTGGAAATTTAATTCACTGATAATTCCATTGAGGGGAACGGAGTTGTTTCCCCCAGGAAAGGACAAGATAAGTGTGAATTGGATAAAGGATAAGAATGCACGTTTGAAAGATATCTTACAAGATGGGAGAATACACACTTTTCAAAACGTAAAAAAAAAAAAGATTTATTTTTTATATTGGATGAACTGCGGTATTATCAGCTTAACCATTTTGTTGCGAGCCTCCCACAACCGCTGAGGACATTGGAGGATGGTTACCCATTTGGAAAATTATTAAGTGGAGACAGGATAATAAAACACATCACCTCAAGGATTTTTAAGATCTTAATGGATATGGAAGGAGTGGATCCCCCAGGGTTTCTGGGAAAATGGGAGAAGGAATTGGGAATAGAAATAAAAGTACAGCAGAGGAATAGGGTCTTTAAATCAATACATAAGGCGATAAATATGCGTACAGTAGAAATGAACTATAAATGTATAGCTAGATGGTATATAACACCAAGCGTTGCCCATAAGCAGCACGCCTATATCTCCCCCTTGTGTTGGAGAGGATGCGGTGAAAGGGGTACAATGGCACATATATGGTGGAATTGCCCGAAGATACAAAATTATTGGAAGGAAATAACTAACCTGATTCAGGAAATTTGTAAGATAACATTTCAGAGAATATAAGTGAAATGTATTGTTTTTATGATGGAACTGATGTTTCTTTTTTTTTTTATATATATTCAAAAATAAATAAAAATTTAAATAAGAAATAAAAAAAAGATTCTACATGGTAAGTAGATGCCATTGCACCATTAAATATAAATGAAACAATCCCTGAGCTTCTAGCATGGTTTGTCCATGTATAGTATTTATGGGCAATTGTTTTGGCATAGCCTTCATATGCATTTTTTGATATACCGTATTGTTTGCTCCATAAGACGCACTTTTTTCCCCCCAAAAAAGGGGGGAAAATGTCAGTGCGTCTTGTGGAGCGAATGTAAAGCGGTGGTTCTGGTATTTCTGCCGCCACCATGTCAGAATATCGGGCCGGCTGCTCAGCTCTTCTCTCCTGCAGGACCCTACCTGTTCCTCGCTCCAGCGCTGCAGTCTTCCCGCGGCGGCTTCTGTGACAGCCGGGTGCCCACTGCGCATGCGCGAGAAGCGCTGCGCTTTGTGAATGGTCCGGTGTTTTCTGGGACACATGACAGGTCCCAGAAGGCTCCGGGCCATTCACAAAGCACAGCACTTCTCGCGCATGTGCAGTGGGCACCCGGCTGTCACAGAAGCCGCCGCGGGAAGAAGAAGGAAAGACAACTCTGCGGAAGTGGGAGCGGGTACCTGTCAAATTCAGGTACCCGTTCCCCCTCCCTCCCCAAAGGTCCGCAGTCTCTGGTAATCTCCTTTACTGTCTGCAGTCTCTGGTCATCCCCAGCACTGTCTGCAGTCTCTGGTCATTCCCTGTACTATGTCCGCAGTCTCTGGTCATCCCCTGTACTGTGTCCGCAGTCTCTGGCCATCTCCTGTACTGTGTCCGCAGTCTCTGGCCATCTCCTGTACTGTGTCCGCAGTCGCTGGTCATCTCCTGTACTGTGTCCGCAGTCTCTGGTCATCTCCTGTACTGTGTCCGCAGTCTCTGGTCATCTCCTGTTCTATGTCTGCAGTCTCTGGTCATCCCCTGTCCTATGTCCGCAGTCTCTGGTCATCCCCTGTACTGTGTCCGCAGTCTCTGGTCATCCCCTGTACTGTGTCTGCAGTCTCTGGGTCATTCCCTGTACTGTGTCCGCAGTCTCTGGTCATCTCCTGTACTATGTCCGCAGTCTCTGGTCATCCCCTATTTTATGTCTGCAGTCTCTGGTTATCTCCTGTACTGTGTCCGCAGTCTCTGGTCATCTCCTGTCCTATGTCCGCAGTCTCTGGTCATCCCCTGTACTGTGTCCGCAGTCTCTGGCCATCTCCTGTACTGTGTCCGCAGTCTCTGGCCATCTCCTGTACTGTGTCCGCAGTCGCTGGTCATCTCCTGTACTGTGTCCGCAGTCTCTGGTCATCTCCTGTACTGTGTCCGCAGTCTCTGGTCATCTCCTGTTCTATGTCTGCAGTCTCTGGTCATCCCCTGTCCTATGTCCGCAGTCTCTGGTCATCCCCTGTACTGTGTCCGCAGTCTCTGGCCATCTCCTGTACTGTGTCCGCAGTCTCTGGTCATCCCCTGTACTGTGTCCGCAGTCGCTGGTCATCTCCTGTACTGTGTCCGCAGTCTCTGGTCATCTCCTGTACTGTGTCCGCAGTCTCTGGTCATCTCCTGTACTGTGTCCGCAGTCTCTGGTCATCTCCTGTCCTATGTCCGCAGTTTCTGTTATCCCCTGTACTGTGTCCACAGTCTCTGGTCATCCCCTGTACTGTGTCTGCAGTCCATTGGTTCAGAATATTTTTTTTCTTGTTTTTCTCCTCTAAAACCTAGGCGCGTCTTATGGTCAGGTGCGTCTTATGGAGCGAAAAATACGGTAACTTCCATATGCAGTATTTTTAGTGTACAAGTTTAACGTTTTAATTCATGTTTGTTTTCAGTTTTATACATATTTATGTGTAGGTGTATTTTTCTCTGATTGTTGTATTAGGGTTTTGTTATGCTGTGTGGTGGCATTGTTGTTGTTTTGTTTTTTTGAATTATTATTATTAGATTGAATTGTTTTTTTCCACGTTTTACCATGTGTATTGTTTGTTATATATTTTATGGTGCAATGGCATCTACTTACTACGTAGACTCTGATATCATTCATTTTAAAAATGAATCCATTGCACCCTATCAATTAATCTGGTATTCCCTCATCTCTTCATCCTCATTTCATTGCATGTATGCATGTTTGTGAAATTGCAACATTGGGTTTATAGGGGGAGAGGTGTGTAGCGCCACACTATATATATATTTGATTAATTCACATTTATATCCTATTGGATATAAAGAGGTGTTGGGCTGCTACTTTAGAGTTGGGTATTGATCCATAAGCGTGGGCATTGTATTTGTAATGTGCACGCACATGTATATGTTAATCATGATGTTTTTGATTGTTGGGCTCATGATTTTATCAGTCATAATTATTTTTACATTGTATTATGTTTTATTGTAGCCCTGATGAAGGGGAGTTCCTTTGACCCCAAAAAGCATTGGATGACTTTTGACATAACATCTATAAATTAATTTGGACTGTTATCTTTTGGTCTGGTGCTTCTTTCATATATACACAGTCAAACATAATGACATTTCACAACTATATTACACCCAAGATGAATACATGTAAATCATTGTCTAGAAAATGGGGCAGTAGGCATAGACAACAGGGAGCTAAACAATATAGAAATGGCATTTTCATTTATAAATACCCCAGAGATGCATTAATTGAATACTTCTCACTAATGCATATATAAAAGAAAATAACAATACTTTACTACATACAAGATTTAAAATCCAGTTCTACAAAAAAAAATCTTAAAAGAGAATTTGTGACAAATGCCAGTTGACACACTTCATGGAATTTCTGTTTGTTCAGGACTGTAGCTATGTTAGAACACTTGAAAATTAATCCGTCTACAAAGATGAATAGGATTACAATCTTGTATATAAACTTCAAAAGAAGAAAAATGACTGCAAGAAAAAAAAACACACAGAATGACAAGAAACATACCTACGTATATGAAATAAAGTATTGTCTCCGCACTACCCAGTGATAGTGCAACGGGTAATATTAAACTAAATAAAAGAAGAAAAAAACACGAAAACAAAATAACTGGTTGCAGCCAGTACTGACATTCTTTCCCGCACCAGTGACAATGTTATTCCTTGAAAAGGTGCAGCACATACAATATGAACAAAAGAAACGCACTACTGACATGCATTAATGTGCAAATCCAACTTCAATGCAATATGACCTAACAGTTTAGAGTGAAATATATGAATGCATGTGCAAACAAATGACATGCATTAACATGTATCAAAAATCATACTAACTAAAAATACCTCAATGTAATGTGCATATATAAATATTTTGTACACCCAGTGTAATCCACCACCAATTACACTAGCTGCTCACCTCAGTCATGTATAAACAGGCTGCAATAAGGGCTCTTTCAGATGGACGTTCCGATCGGGTCCGCCTGCCGTTTTTCAGGCGGACCCGATCAGAAACCTTTATTCTCTATGGAGCGGCAGGTGTAAACGTACATGTGTCCGTGTACAGCTGCAGACATCCGATCTGCCAAAAATAAGGATCCAATTCCCCTTCCGTCCATCGGATCGGATGAAAACGGACTGGTAGTCCGTTTGCATCCGACCACCCATAGAGGAGAGCGAGCAGCTCTGTGTGTCTGCTCTGCAGCAGCGGAACGGACACAGAGCTGTCATCTGCTTGCTCAGCGGACATCAGCAAAGAGATCCCCTGCTGAGCAAGCAGATCCGCTAAACGGGTTCGCCCATGTGAAAGAGCCCTAACTCGCTAGACATCTACAGATGTACTCAGGAATTTAATCACCACAGGGGATCTCCACACTCCTCATTGAGCAGTTTGTAAATAACTATACATTTATTAAAACAATAATAAATCCAGAGGAAATACACTCACATCTTCCGGTGCACAAATCCTGTGCACTGGAACAATATCAGCATGGATTTCACATACAAGTGTGCTGCCTTCATCAAGTTACTCTGCCAATATATAAAAAACGTATATACAGTGAGGAACAGAAGTATTTGAACACCCTGGATTTTTCAAGTTCTCCCACTTAGAAATCATGGAGGGGTCTGAAATTCACATTGTAAGTGCATTCCCACTCTGAGAGACAGAATTGAAAAAAAAAATTCAAGAAATCACATTGTATGATTTTTAAAGAATTTATTTGTCTTGCACTGCTGAACATAAGTATTTAAACACCTAAGAAACTGCAAGAATTCTGGCTCTCAAAGACCTGTTACTGTGCCTTTAAAAAGTCCACCTCTACTCCACTCATTAATCTAACTTAGTAGCACCTGTCTGAGCTCTTTAAAGACACCTGTCCACCCCACAGTCAGTCAGACGCCAACTACTACCATGGGCAAGACTAAAGAGCTGTCAAAAGACACCAGAGACAAAATTGTGGACCTCCACAAGGCTGGAAAGGGCTACGGGGCAATTACCAAGCAGCTTGGTGAAAATAGATCAACTGTTGGAGCAATTGTTAGAAAATGGAAGAGGCTAAAGACGACTGTCAGTCTCCCTCGGACTGGGGCTCCATGCAAGATCTCACCTTGTGGGGTATCACTGATGATAAGGTGAGGAATCAGCCCAGAACTACAAGGGAGGAACTGGTCAATGACATGAATAGAGCTGGGACCACAGTTTCAAAGGTCACTGTCGGTAGAACACTATGCCGTCATGGTTTCAAATCATGCATTGATAAGAAGGTTCCCCTGCTCAAGTCATCACATGTCCAGGCCCGTCTGAAGTTTGCCAGTGACCATCTGGATGAACCAGAGGAGACATGGGAGAAAGTCATGTGGTCAGATGAGACCAAAGTAGAACTTTTTGGTCTAAACTTCACTCGTCGTGTTTGGAGGAAAAAGAAGGATGAGTTGCATCCCAAGAACACCATCCCTGCTGTGAAGCATGAGGGTGATAACATCATGCTTTGGGGGTGCTTTTCTGCTAAGGGGACAGGACGACTGCACTGTATTAAGGAGAGGATGAACGGGTCCATTTATTATGAGATTTTGAGCAACAACCTCCTTCCCTCAGTCAGAGCATTGAAGATGGGTCGTGGCTGGGTCTTCCAACATGACAACGACCCGAAGCACACAGCCAGGATAACCAAGGAGTGGCTCCGTAAGAAGCATATCAAGGTTCTGGAGTGGCCTAGCCAGTCTCTAGACCTAAATCCAATAGAACATCTTTGGAGGGAGCTGAAACTCCGTGTTGCTCAGCGACAGCCCCGAAATCTGACAGATCTAGAGGAGATCTGTGTGAAGGAGTGGGCCAAAATCCCTGTTGCAGTGTGTGCAAACCTGGTCAAGAACTACAGGAAATGTTTGACCTCTAATTGCAAACAAAGGCTTCTGTACCAAATATTAACACTGATTTTCTCAGGTGTTCAAAAACTTTTGTTCAGCAGTGCAAGACAAATAAATTCTTTAAAAATCATACAATGTGATTTCCTGAATTTTGTATTTAAATTCTGTCTCTCAGAGTTGGAATGCACCTACAATGTGAATTTCAGACCCCTCCATGATTTCTAAGTGGGAGAACATGCAAAATCGCAGGGTGTTCAAATACTTCTGTTCCTCACTATAAAAGTATACAAATGGTACTATGAAATTATTATACACAAGTGATATGGAAGCGAATTGCTACTCTGAGTGCAGATAAATACGTGCAACTGTGAAAGTCAATAAACAAACAAAAAAAGTGTTCATATGATGGTGAAGGTCTGACAAACACCGGTCAGAAAATTGTGTCGTATACAGATCCTGTTGCACAGGTGGTATCAAAGATCGGAGTATCGGCGAGCGGAGAGGACGTAGGATCGAACCCAGAATTGAGCTAAACAATTTCCAGGACTCTATCCGGAGAACAGTTGCAGAGCAGTCTCAGATCCAGAGGAGGGATTCATTTCCTATGCTGCTTGTCTGGTCCACCCAAAGGGGGCTTCCTGCAGACCTTACGGTCATTATATGATTCAACATATTGCGCTTTTACTATGCACGTCTGGTAAGTGCACATTTTTATCATATTCCCTGCACGGATTAAAGTCACATGATTGTAAATGTTGTTTTTTTTTAAACAACGTCATGTCATAATAACCTGCTTTGTGTAATGAAATTGCACAGGGCAGCCCTGATTCTTCTTTTCTGGGGGTCCCCTGCTGGTGCCTCTGACTCTTCTTGCCTTCAGAGTGCCACCTATAGCAAGCCGCAATGTATAGTTTAGAGTGCCCCTATAGCAAGGTAAAAAAAACTTCTGCCTTTAGAATTAATAATTTCCTTCTCCTGCCCAAGGCTACATGCCTCACAAGGCATTGCTCTTCTCACATTCATAAGTTCTCAGGCACTTACCCACATGCATAGACGGTGTACTGAGCTGTATGTGTGCTGCACTGTGTATACTGACATGTATCAATGGTATACTGAGCTGTATGTGTGCTTGCCTGTATTTCCTAATATGGAAACAAATAATGCATTCTGTATGCAGGCCAACTAATCGGCTGACCAACTAATATATTATGAAAATAGTTGACAACTATTTTCATA